GAACTAGGTAATGTTTTAACCAGTCAATTTAAAATATATTGTTGAGCGTAAAGAATTATTAAACAGTAAAACCACTTTCTGAATATTGCAAGTGTTTTCCTTTTTACAAACTCCCCCCAATTATAATCCCCCCAAAACAGAGGTTTCTTCCAAAACCTGGTAAAACATTAAGATAAAGTTGTTGTTTTTTACCTCTACATAAATCACCAGTCATTATGTCACACTTATTTGTATTTATAGTGAGGTTCAGATGTGAGAAAACATTTTCAAAGCCTCATTAATCATAGAATATCTGAAGCTCATTTTACAGGAACAAACAGGTATCATCAGCCTATCTTAACATCCTCTGCATTAACACAATTAACTTAAGCAAATTAGGAAAGCAGGCATTAAAAAGACCAAGGGTGAAACACCTTTGTCTAATGCCACATTAAACTGAGATAGAGCGCAGACGCACTGTAATTTTTGTATGCAGTGTTGATGTAATATTTATGAAGTTCTCATAAATGTAAAGCCTCAAAGTATAAAGTGGTGGCCCACAATATCAAACACTTTGCAAAAGTCCAAAAAATAAGTTCATTTACTTGTCATTTATTCTTGATAATCGAAAATGTGTAGAACACGTTAAACATTATTATACCATGTCATTATATGAGGAATTTTTATTTTTTTTAAAGGCAGTGTATTGAAGAAAATAGGAAATTCTGCTAGGGAAAATTACAGAAGAGATGTGGATTGCCAAGACAAAGGAAAGAAAAGAGAAAAATTAGGCAGTTTTTTATCAACTGATCAACTGGTGGTAAAGGAAAAAATACAAATCTTTTATTTGGCAATTGCTGGGATAGCAAAGCTTTTCAGCCGTCCCACAGCGCTGTTCATCCCAGGTTAGAACCCAGGTAGGTCCACAAATTGATCTTAAAATGAGCTTCTCATTACAAATAATGCTTCTTACAATGCATGCTCCATTTTAAGCTTGTTTTTAAATTTGATCAAAGGACTGTTCTGTGCTTTTTGTCTGAGCAGGCACACTGCAGAGATGGACCCAGGGGACTGTGTAGAAATGGCAACTGACGTTGCTGAAAAAGGGTGGAATATGGGTAAAGACATTGCGAACGCGCTGCCAACACATCGCCAGTGCAAAGTTTACATTACGAATGAGTGTTCCAACTACACTCTGTGTAACCCTAGGTAACTGCTCATTAAAAATAGTATTGTCTTTTTTTCTATTTTCAGTTTGAAAATGTGTCCTCATAGATACATTTTTATTTGTAGGGTTCACACAGAGAGTGGACGCTGCTCCGTTCCATTGCCACCGAGCATTCGACCATCTGACCATCTGCAAACGACGACGCAGTGTTCTCCAAGATCGCAAACACAGCTTGTGGAGCTGTTGGCATCTTCACTTATGATCTTCTCAACAACTTCACCGAAAAGTCCAGTGAGAAAATAGCTATCATGTACAAGGTGCCGTTTGACCTGAACCGGAAGTCCAACCAATATGCGCTGGGAGTCTTTGGCATCAGTACAGAGTGCAATCGAGATCTTTTTCGAGAGATGTCTAAAAATACAGGCAAAGCAAAGGGCCCCAGTCTCACTCACAAAAGTGAAACGGTTACCATCATGGCCACAATGTCCAACTACTACACACCTGTCATGAAGGTGCAAGTGAGAGAAAACTGAGGAAGCTTTCTTTTCATAGATTTTGTTGGTGATTTTATGCTTAGTAGTAGCGAATGGAATGTGTTTATCGAAGTTCACACAATGATACATTTTTACCGCTGGCTTTCCCTACAATCATGAACATATACATATATATGACAGAGACATCTGGCTATGCCTTTCTGTATTTTTCCACTGATTCTGTATTGTTGAAACTGTTGTAGAAATGACTTAACTAGGGGTATAAGAGCTTCGATGGCTTCCTGGCAAATATGCATACCTGTCCTGGTTTAGTACGAGGCTCTGATCTTTAGTTCAGTGGAAAATCTCAAACTCTCAATACATCTATAAAAGCAGCCTGTGTCTATGTGTGTGTTTATGGGCATATTGCTGTTGGACTGTAAGAAATCATCATCAATTGTTTGTTGTCTGTGTCTATGTATGGGTGGATGGTTTAACTTGCAAAAATGGCAAATTAAATCAATATTCAAATATTTCCATTGCTTCTGTTGTAATTTAAATAAGCAGCAGTGTTCATTTATCATCTTTATTATTAACAAATGAGGACAATAATAAAGGTCCACTCTCTATATTCAGTTTTTGGTCAATGCAAGTCCATTTTCATTTAAAGTAACATTAAACCAAACATGTCTTTGGAGTCATTACCAGCACAGCTGCTGGTGTCACATTCCTATAGTCTTATTTCAGCATAACCCCAAGATATGAGGGGTATTAACATTATACAACCACAGTTCTTATTAAGTATAAAATACATATAATAATAATAAATTATTGGCATGGTGGGGAATTTAGCAACAATGACAAGGATATAATTATGATATGAAAAGACTTGAACTGTTATTACGCATGTTTCCACTTTGTAACATGTGAGTCTTCAGATTAGATTATTTTCATTAAGGCTTTGTTAACTTCACATGACCAAACATTATATCCAAGATGGTGGAATATATATGTACATATGTAAAAATAATACAAATATTCAAAGTTTGGATACCTTCTAATTAATCATCAAGGAAATAATCATTTTAGAGGTTGATTGATGAGGAACAGCAGAAAGTGAAAGTTCAGTGAATCAATGACCTCTTGTGTTTAAGGAAGTGAGTGTGCATGATTATGGAAATGTCTTGCCTATCTGGTTTGTTATGCCACCACTCTAGATTTGAAGCCAGATGGTATGTGGTAGGCTCAAGTGGTAGAGAAGATTCTTGCAGTTGGAGGAATTCCAAATGAAAATAATAAATGTGCCAATGCTTGTTCTGTATTGGCTCTGAGGCAACAGCTGTGGTTGCAGCTCTGTGTCAGAAAGAGTATACGGGTATTGGTTTAATTCAAAATCCATCTATGACGGACACTGACATTGCCAGTAACTCTTGGACTCGGCCTTCACTTGGACTCAAACCTCTTTGGACTAGGGCTTGACTCTTTCCTGACTAGTCCTGGTCTTGAACTTGATAAAGGTGGTCTTGACTACAGCACTGCTCCCGACTGGCTTCGGTAACAGTTTGACAACGTTAGACGATTTATTGATGTGATTAACTGAAGTTCATTTGTGATAGACAGATGTTTTATCCAATCACCTGCCAAGTATTTTTTAAAGTACCTGCCCTTTTCCAAACTATTTCCAACAATGGCTTCAGAGTAACAAACCACTCTTTGCATTTAGGTAACTGTAGCCAAGCCAACAACTCATTTTGGCCTTGAGATGCCATCGAAAGCTCTGCGAAAGCAAATAAGCTGAGTTAAGATTATTTTTTCAAACCATGCATGGTCCGTTTGCTACCTGATGAAAATCAACAAGAAATTTCAAGCTACAAAAGTCACCCCTGAACAGACCTTACAGTAACGCGCTATTAAGCTACGTTCAGACTGCAGGCCAAAGTGACCCATATGTGACTCAGATCATATTTTTTCATGACAGTGTGTACAGCACAAATCACATGGAATCTGATCTTATCAGTTCTGATGTGGTCCCAATCAGATACAGGTCTGATTTTTTGCAATATCAGAATTCATGTGACTGTAGACTGACATTACTCATGTGGATGGGTCACACACTGGGATCTGATTGGGGCCACATAAAAAAAAAGGAGTTTGTGAACAGTCAGCCAAAAGCAATTTGATCTAAGACTTGCAGTGTGAATGTAGCCATAGTCAGAAATCAAAACTTACTCTATGTATCTCATTACTTTTATTTATATTCAAACATGAGATGTACCATCAGTCCATGGTTTGTTCCTGTGTTTGAGCACTGCATTAGCAGCCATGTTAACTACACTGTTTCTTTCACAGGTCTAGGTTAAAAGTTACAGATGCAGCAGAAACACAGAAGCAACCTGACCAGACCTGTTCTCACAATTATATAACGTGTAGACAGCAGACACAGCCAGGTCAACAGGAGTAGCTAGATTGAAGGCTGATTACTTTTATGTTGATTTTGGCTCACAGACTATAGAAAAGAATGCAGCTTCGTTTTACAGTCTGCAGCGGCATGCGTGTCGAGTCAATCATTTTGTGACAGGTGAATCCTGTTTTACATTCTGTATATTTAAGTACAAGCTAGACCTTACCAGTGTTTCTGCTTCCTAACAATTCATTCATGTTTCTCCATCCCCTGTCTCTAGACCGAATCAGTCTCTTTCTTTTCCTCCTCCATCGTTTTCTGTAAATCTCAAATCAGTTGCACTTACTTTACTCTCTCCACATTTCTCCACTCTTGCAGTTCCACCTTGTGTCTGCCTTCTCTCTAACCCTCCCTAACTGTCTGAAAATATAAAAAGACTTCCTTCTTAAACTCTTCACAGGGCATGAAGCAGCACTTGAACACACAGAGTTAATGTTACGTGTTGCCATGCAGGTGCAAGTGCAGTTTTGTTTTGAGTTCTCTTCTTCAGGTGCTCTCTCTCTCTCCCTCTACCTGTGTTCTCCTGTAGAAGCAGAACACCAGAAATGAATTATCCATGGTGGTGTCATGGTGGTGTCTGGGGGGTGACACACATGTGCCATGTGTAAAATTGTAAACTCCCCTAGTGGGGGGCTTTACCCCCAAGTTGGGACTCAATGGTCTAGAACAGGGTTATTTCTGGCCCTCCATGCCCCTCTGTCCAGCCCACAACATGATCTCAATATAATATAATCTAGCCTGCAAGACAAGCAATGTAAACTATCCCTTCATTTACAATTTGAATAACACAATTCTATTTTTTTAAAGGCAATGGCTTCATTTGATGTTTGGCTGTGAACAACAAAGATGATCTAAAATTATGTAAAGATGTATAAAAACTGCATTTTTGGGTGGTGGGTTGCTGCTTATACAACGTTAACAGGATACAATGGTACTCACATGAGAACCCAACGGAGAACAAAACAACCAAAACTGTGCGAGAGAGCCCAGTTTGATCAGCAGTAAAGTATGTGTGAAAGCTATGTCAGCTTATGATTGGTCTGCCTGTGTTTGAGGCGGGTCTTCAGGGCGAGAAGGTCAATGTAGAGGATTTGATTAAGGACAGCAGAGGCGCAGAGCAGTCCGCCATGAAGCGCCCCAGCCATGCCGTTACAGAATACGTCCTGACCTGCACACAGACACACACACAGAAACATTAAGCAGGTGTGTCTGTAGAAGACCACACCAGATGAGACTGCCTGTCAGTCAGGTCACCTGTTAGGTAGAGTCCGCTGATGGGTGTCTGTGGTCGTGTCCTAGCAACAGTTTCTGGGGTGAAGCGCTCCAAGTTGTGTTCAGCGCCGTACATCTCACCTCTTGGAGCGCCCAAATAGTGGACATTAGTTAGAGGAGTAGCTGCATCCACCATAACCACCTGAACACACACACGAGTTTTAAAGATGTTACCACAGTTATGTGTTCACAAAGGTCACAAACTAATCTCCATGCTCAAGTGTAATTAATTCAATTTTATTTGTATAGCGCCAATTCATAACAGAAGTTATCTCAGGACACTTTTCAAATAGAGCAGGTGAACATCCTTATAACATTTCAGAGACCTATCATTACCACCATGAGCAAGCACCTTGGCGACCAGGGCAAGGAAAAACTGCTTTTAAGAGCAGAAACCTAGACAGACCCCTTCAGCTCTAAGGTGGGTGGTCGTCTAAAGAGGTGTTGAATTGTCCCATTGATTTCCCGATTCGATTACGATTATCATTTCAGGTCGATTTATCAATTCCTCGATGCATCACGATGCTTCAATACATTTTTTCATAAAGCCATATAGGATTATTTTGACTTGACGGAATGCATTAAGATACTGTAAGGTCATATAAACAGTTTTCCTATCATGTTACCTATGGTTTGTTTTCATCCAAAAATACAGTAGTAAGAATATAAACAATCTTTTATTTAACAGTCTGACACAGCAAGACAGCACACCACACCAGACACACACACACCACCAGATAATACGTCTCCTGATCGTGTCATGGAAAGAGGGACAGTATTCAGTGTCTCAGCACTTCTCACTATGATTGTACCATGCCAATGCCTGCCGGGAGTATTAGCTCCTCTGCTATTGGTATGGGTTTTGCACCCTTGAGATGTGGTGCAACTTGTACGAGGCTAACGTGCTTTTTATTTACTGATGCGCCACTAAGTGGCCGGCCTGTTGGCTATACATCGAGTATCCGATGAAAAAAAGTCCAGTGCTTATTGACATAACTGGGGTGTAATGTCTCCAGTGGCCGTCTTAATTGTTTGGTTTCATGCTGTCCGCTGCCAGATTTTTAAACATAAAACACACACAGGTCTTTCCTCATTTCCACCGTATTCACGTAAAATCCAGGGCTGTGTAGCTTCGATCGTAGTTCCTGCTCTTATTAGGTTTATGCCGTTACCCGTCACTGTGCTGTTCTTGCCTCTGACGTCTCCTCCTTTTTCTTTTTACTCCTGTCAGAAACTTCTCCTCTCTCCTCCCCGTCAGTCCCCCCTGCCTGTCCGCACCCCCCTGACATCTCAAAATGCGCCCCAGCTATTTGAGAAGTACTGTCCTAGATGAAAACGTAGCTACTGAGAATGTTATTTTTCATTGAATGTTTATGCGTGGCCGGAAAATTAAGAGCGACATCATTGCGTTATAATCGATTATGGTTGGCCCACTGCCATCAGATGCATGCATCGTCCATGTCTGCATCTGCGATGCAATCGATTATTGATTAATTTTCAACACTCTATGCCGTCTTACCTACAGTAGCTGTAGGAGGATGTAACAAGACGTTATTGTTAAGACTACAAAGACATATTGAATTGATCAACTCACTCTCACTCGCAGAAATTGAACACTGAAATCTCATTCTCATGGAAATACTAGACTCTGTTGTGCAGCCATATCTAATAGATCTTTATGTTACCTGAGGCCATACTAGTTGGAGGCCAGGCCTACGCTGGTGTTCTCTTGTACAAACATTGACACACACCTTATCTCGTAATTGAGGGAAGATTGTTAGTGCCCAGTCCAGCAGCTCTTGCGCCATGCCGTTTTTCAGATCCAGGTAGTCCTGTCCCCTCTTGCCAAGCTTTGTCCCCTCCCATTCCTCGAACCACTCATAGCGAGCCATGGTTAGCAACGTCATACAGGACTTACCTGCAAAAAGATACATAAGGGGAACTTCATTCAAATTATTATCCTCTTGAAGGAACCCGTCTACATCAATGGAGTCTATTTAACAATGTATGCCAGAAATTGACAATTTATTTGTATTTTTTATTGTTAGATGCCGTTAGCTAGTTATCTTGAGCAGGTAACTTTATATGAATTAGCCCCAGGGTCCCAGGAGCTAAGCCCGACAAAAAACACCTTGGTACACTCATCAAACTGTCCTCCGTCTTCATCAAATGCTGTATTTAGTCCCGGTCTGGTTGTGCCATTTATAATAATAATAATAAATATGAAAAAGCAGATAGCACTGGTTTCCTGTGTTACCTAGACTTAATATATATATATATATATATATATATATTTACTATGTTAAGATATAATGGAGTGGCAGCATCCTGAGCAGAGAATGACAAAGGGAGGAGGGGGATGTGGCCAATGTTTCCATTTGTATTGGTATGAGATTCTGGTGATCCAGTGCTACAGTGGTTCTGAATTTTGTATCTAGCATATTTAAGTGAACGTAACATCCCATCCAAAAACCTGGGATTCACATAATTGCATATCTACCAGAAAAGAGTAGTCAAGGAGGAGTAGACAGAAATCAGAAATGGCAAAGGAGTCACTGATGTAGAAGGTGATATCAGATATGATGGCAAGTACACAGTTACCTGGGTGTCTGATGTTGGCTGTAGGATCTTTGGCGGATGGAAAGGTGATGAACATCATGGGAATGTTGCCCAATACCTGTTCTCTGCTCAGAGAAGAGTACTGCTCCATACTTCACACAAAGTTGTTTGTACAAACACATAGACACAAACACAAGCTTATTGAGGAGAACACCAGCTGCTAAATCTATAACATACTAAATACAATAAAATGGGGTGTGTTAACTTGGGATGTGTTGTTAAACTGACATTGAATTTGAGATTGGTTAATCCTTAATTTGGCAATAAAACTCGGAAGGATGGAAGAATATTTAAATATAATAGAGAAATGTGAGAGAAATAGAAAAAAAATATAAAAAACCTACAGTGAGTCCAAGTCATTGTCTTTATACATCCAGAAGTTGGTGGAAACAATGCCCAGCTCCTCTTTGGTTCCATCCAGACCAACAAAGACCAAGAAGGAACCCATACCATGACGCACCATACCCAACAGTGACTGGATCTCTGCACACGCAACAAACATGTTACAGGAAACATGCAGTAGAAAAAGAAAGCAAATGAGAAAAAGTGTAATGTAACGTTGCATGGCTGCAGTTCAAAGTCAACATTTGATGTTACCTGGTTTGTCCTGTATGTGCTGAGGCAGAAACTTCTGGAAGGTGTTGAAGATTCCGGCGTTGGAAATGACAACAGGGGCATGGACCTCAATCTCTTCTTGTCCTTTAAGCACTGTCACACCTGAAACACATACACACACAGTGTTAATGCAAAGGAAATATCCATCTTGAGCAAAATGTTCTTTGTTTGTGCTGTTTTTTTTTGGGAATCGTAGAGTTGTCCCTCAGATGGGGTTGGAATACGTTGTAGTTCAACATTTTAACCCTTTCTCACCGTATGCCTTCCCTTGCTGATTGAGCAGGACGCGTTGCACAGGAGCCCTGACCAGCACGGCACCGCCTGACCGCTGAATGACAGGGATGATGTGAAAAGCAAACTCGCTGGCGCCCCCTCGTGGGTAGTATGCACCACGCTTGTAATGGTGAAGAAGGAGAGCATTGATGAGAAAGCTGGACTCTTTAGGAGGCACACCTAAAATGACATTATTCAGAGCATTGAAGGGTGAATACAGAATGAGTGTGGTTTATGATGCATGTGAGTGTGTGTGTCCATCACCATAGAACAGGTAGGCAGACAGCGCGTGCAGGTCCTTGTTCTGTGTGAGGCGGGACATCATTTCTGAATGGTTGGTTGCTGCTAGCCGGAACACCGAAGATATACAGTCTAATAGACCAGTCCGAACCAGGATGTTAACCAGCCAATACGGTATGATCTTCAAGATGGCGATAAGTGGCGTCCGTCGTGAGGCTAGCTGCAAGAAGAGGACATATATATCATTAATTTGAATCATCAATAAATTTTGCTTATACAGCACCTTTTACATGAGAAATGCAGTTTAAGATCCTTTCAGACAGCAAATGGTTGCCACCTCGCAGTGCCACAGAAGTCAGCAGGAGTGGCAGCAGCATGGAGAGAGAGTTCCCTTAAAGGACCAGTGTGCAGGGTTTAGTGGCATCTACTGTTGAAGTTTTAGATCACAACTAACTGAACATCACTCACGCATGTATTTGACGACCTGGGAATGACATGGGGTACAGCAAGCAACATTTATGACACAAATGCCATAATAACATATTGCCAAACATTTTCTCTATTTTAAGGTACAACCAACGCTAAAATAAAACAACATTTAATATGTCCATGGACCTGTAGAGTCAAACAAAGAGAAAGATTGGAGCTAATAATACGTTTTTGCCTTGATGCAGTTGAAGAAGTACATCTTTCAAGGCAGTAAAGGGGGGTCATATCATCAGGAGCAACAGCTACATAGAGTGAAAAGACAGAAAAATAGTGGACTTGCTTGAGCCTTGTAGCACTCCAAATGTTAATTTTGTCAAAGGAAAGTTGTTTTTTTTCAGCCATGTTTGTGTAATAAACTGCCTACTGTCTCATCCATTCTTCCCATTCTCATCCCATCATTATTATTTCATGCCAACCTCTCTACCTTCATCAATCTCATGAACTCATCAATGGCCTCCTCTTCTCCTGGGAACTGCTTTTTCAGGCTAGCTGCCATCTCAGTCTTCCCTGCATGGATGTGGTACTCCCTGAGAATGACAGAGAAGTAAGATAGGGTAGGTCAGAGATGGCTGGAAAGGTTGTTTTGATTTTATGGATGAGTTTTGAGTAAGTAGGTAGTATAGTTCATTGTTAGGTTTTGTTTGTTGTTGATTTGTGTAGTTGATTACTCCTGGTAATACTATGAAGAGCAAATAAATAAACCCCCTGCATAAGAGAAAGTGGAAAAAAGAAAGAAAGAATTGATCAGTGATTTTAATGTAACAAGCCCTACCTGCGCTGGTCAGCCCTACCTGCGCTGGTCAGGATGACCCAGTATCAGTGTATCAAAGTGCTGCTCCAGCCGTGTGAACTGCAGCTTTCCATCTGTGATCTGATCTAGAGCAACCCTCAGGAGGCTGTTCTCATGAAGCTGGCCCAGGTAATGGATTCCTGGTGGTGACAGTGGAGTGGCGCGGGTTAGTTACATTCAGTTGTCCATGGCCTGACAACTTAACTATTAACAGAACAGCCCAGAACAGACAACCCAAACACTGGCTCCAGATAGGGACGTTGGCGCAGACAGAAACAGGGTAGCTTTCTTTAAAAGTATTGGCCTTGGCATTACAAAAAAAAAAAAGAAAATGCATGAAATTGCCAGAGTGCCACTGTCTTCCAAAACAGTCACCACAGCTATGGTTCATTATACTCAGATATAACTCACCACAATGGCGTATGTGTTCAAGTTCAGTTTCTCTCTTTGAGTTAACGGTGCTTTGAGGAAATAGATGCAATGAATGTAAATGTATTAGAATGACTGGACTGTTCGTCACACCATACTGTATACTACAGTGTGAGGTGTATAGGTTAATCGTCAATCACAATATAAAGCTATGGCTTGGCTTAGTATTCCAATTATGAATCTCTTTTTGAACACGTAATAAGCCTTTATCAGTTGGAAGGAAATCTGAAGCCGCGGATGAAAAGAAAGAAAGATAGGTTCCATCTGCAGGGAGAGAACCTTTATGTGCGTGCTGGTATACATTTGTTCATGTACTTTGCCTTCTTACCCACATCAAACTCAAATCCCTTATTCTGAAAGGTGTGTGTGCAGCCTCCAGCCTGATCGTGTTGCTCCAGAACTACAACCCTCTTCCCGGCTTTGGACAGAAGCGCTGCTGCTGTCAACCCTCCCACACCGCTGCCAATTACCACCGCATCCAGAGAGGGGGGAACGCGGTCCACACGGAACCCTGCACAGGAGCACACATTGCATTTTGTGAAATGCTTTCTTGGCATCTGGAACACAGAGGTTTTTCATTGAGTCTCAACTCTCCAGTCCCGGTATGAGCCTGTAAATCTAAAATCTGAAAAGTATTTATAAAAACAAACATAATATTTTTTTTGCATTGCATTGCTTTGGATTTGCATTGTTGGTGCATTGTGAATACTGAGCTCTTTTTTTTTTTATTGTGCCACAGTGGGCTCTCAGGCCCTTCTGATCCCCAGACTTTCTTCAGAAACACAGTTCTTGCAGTCATATAACATGGCTCTACAGTGCTGTTGCTGCTGAAAACTGCATGTAAACCTGGATATTTTCTGTTCATGCTGGCAGAGGTGTGTCCAGAGGGGGGGACTGGGGTGGCCACCCCTAAAAACTGATCGGTCACCCCAAGTGCCAGAGGCTGTAGTGTGCTCTGCTTTAAAGCTAGAGTGAAGATACTGGTATCATATGAAACAAGATAACCTAAGGCATCCATTGGTACCAACATGTCAATGAAACTGACATGGCCATTTTCAGAGGAATTCCTTGACCCCCTTGATATCTAAATGAAAATAGATTATATGGTGTTTATGGAGTATAATTATTTCAGAGGAGGCTTGACGATAGTTGATTGTTGAGTCTCATTCCCAGTGTGTCAAATACTGACACTTTGGGACTCTGGTTGTTTTTGTCCGTTCTTGCAAATGCCATTAGAAGCACTATTACAAGCCAGAGGAACCTGATTTTTATATCTGTCTCATATAGTACTGTCTGGACACTGAACATTTCAGCCAATATGAAAAAAAGTTATTTTCATAAAAATGACCTACTGCAGCTTCAATTAGTTGAATGTTGAAAGATAATACAAAGCTCTGGTGCAGTATAGTACATACAGTATCTGCCAATCATCAACAGACACAGGATTCAAGATTCTATCAGAAACAACCTTTCTTACCTCTCTTCAGCCTGTCGTCCCTCTGTCTGCTGTCGGTGACCAAAGGCCCTGGTGGCCTCAGGCACTTCTCGCTGAACACCTTGTAGCGTTGCCCTGTGATCAGGAAGAAGATGACAACCACCACCAGCAGCACACAGCTCAACACACCTAGCAGCCACCACCACATAGTGCAGCCACTACACAGCACTGTCAGCAGGATGGAGAGCAGAGTAACAAACAGCAGAGGAAAAAAAGGAAAACAGCGAATGCAGATGAAAACACTGACAGAAAAAAAGAATGGAGAAGGATGAAGAGAAAAGTGGGTAAGAGAAGAAAGATGAAGAGTGATTCTCCAACAAGGCTTTCCCTAAAAAGGAGCACAGAACGGAAGAGGAGGAGACGAGTGAAGTGAGGGGTGGAGAGAGGGAAAAGGAGGATGGATGCTTATTAAAAGGTAATGGGATGAGTAAAAGGAAATACAACACATGACATTTGGGAAATTCTGACTCCACAAAGAGCAGAGCAGATAACGTATTCTCCACACCAAGGACATGAGACTGGCAGAGAAGAGAGAGCTGACTGTTCAGACACACCCAGAACCAATTTGTTGCTCATCATCGCTAAACTGCCTTCGGATGAACATTTTTACAAATATCCCACTGTAAAGCTGAAATCATCATAGTTCCACTGCATGATTGTGAACAAAGATGCTTTCAGAGCTGAGATGCTGTGAGGGGGATAGTTTTGGGAGACTTGGCTTTTTGGGTAAATGGGCTGAGGTGCATATATGTGTTAGTAAATGTTTAAGTTTCATTTGAGCTTTCCAGAAGCCATGAGGGTGGCTATTACAGAGAAAAACACAACATGGTACTCAGGGCTGAAATTCAATTCAATTCAATTTTCTAAAATTTTTTTAATGAAAGGGCTAGTGTCTAATTAAGAAGAATACTTAAAAATAATCATTAGAAAAAGTAGTATGACGAATATGAATGTGAAACAAAAGATTGAATTCCTGCATGCTGTCGACAGCACTGACACATTTTGGTTTCAGAACTTCATCAGGCATCGAATTCACAATGCGAAGCAACACATCTTTAACACCGCCGGCTAACAACCAGTGGAACCAGCTCCTCAGCCAAATATCACATCGATAATTGATAACCAGGAAATGACAAATATAATGATAAACCACGGAATACAGTATAAATAACATAATATTAAAGTGAAAAAAAGGTTAGACTGATAACTTGGCCTTTTGCTAAGATATTTATTAGATATTTCCTGGAGCAAGAGTCTCTATATTAGTACACATTGTACAAATAATTCCCATGTTTTGTAATGTTTTAGTATGTACTTAATTGATATTTTGTGTATTAAACCATTTTTCTGAACAGTAAGGTATTCTATTTAGTATTGTTTGGTGAGTCTATTCTTGTGTTAGCAACTAGCAGCCACACACTGAGGAAAACACTTGGTAACTCTTTCATTTGTTTGATTATCTTTAGGTTTAGAATATTAAACACAATTCACAAATAATTGGACACAGATTTTGGCTTCATAATAGTTTTATTATCCATTTTTGACAGTGGGTTATCTTTTTGGCTACACATAATTAGTTATAACTTCCTTTGTCAGTTTGGGTAGCATTATTAGGCTAATTAATTTATATTATTTTTCATTGCATTAATTCTTTGCGTTACCAGTTCCTGGGTGTTGCTGCTGGAGATGTTGCTTGGGTGTCAAAGGAAGGGCTGGCTGAATGAGAGCTGCTTAAAAGGGGTTGGTCTACAATTGGGCTGCACCATGTTGGCCTGCATCATGTGAGAGGCAGTGGTTTCTCCTTGTTTGAGTTTATTTATTTCTCTGATTATTATGCTTTTTTATGTTTAGTATTTCAGTATTTTCCTTAGTTAATATTTGGCTGCATTATCTGGATATTATTTGAGGTTATTATGGTTTGTTTGTTTAAATGGTATGTTTTAGTCTAGTCCCCCTGTGTGTCAGAGTGGCCTGATCAGCCACTATTTAAGGTTCCCCAATGTAGGTTGGTTGCTTAGTTTGTTCAGTAAATGTAGCCTGAGTGAGTTTAGTTCTGTTTAGTTGACCTCTTTTATGGGCCCAGAACTTTATTGTATATTTTGTAAAATGGTTATTTATACCTTTTTTGTGAAAATATACCTTTGACTCCTCATGCCTGCCAGCTGGGTCCCTTACAACATTATATAAAATATATAAACATACATATATATTGAATAAAAGACTTGCTGATATACCATCCCCACCCCTTTTTTTTTAACCTTTTTTTATTACAAATTGCTTATTTTCAGTCCCCATCTACTGGTCTTTCCTTTTCTTTCGGATATGCAAAGTTCATCATGCTGACGGCCTGAAGAAATAAGCTTTCTCTGAGTCTCCTTGTGTTGAACTACAGAGGTGTTTCCTTCTGATGATTCCTCCTCTGGTTGTGCTCCTTTAGGTGTAGAAGTCCTGAAGAGTGGCTAGTCTAGATCTGATGTGTGCCACTCTCTGTAGGGCTCTATGGTCTACTGAGCAGAGCAGTTCCCAGATCAGGTGGTGACGCCCCTGTTAAGATGGTTTCATAGATCTGATCTGGCCAACACAACTGTCATCAGTAAACTTGATGATGGAGTTTAAGCTGTGTACAAGGTGTACAGCAGTGGGCTAAGTACTCAACCTTGAGGGAAACCAAGAACACTACATGCACCTACTACACATTGTAACCACACCAAGGAAAATCACAACTTCAACCAAATCAATAATTTATTCAGTACAGACAGAAGCATGAACAATGTCTGACTCTACAATCATCAGTCCTACAACAAAATTACAAGGTTCAAGCTCGATTCACTGTCCATTTTTGAACCACGTGACTATAGAGATTTTGTTTGGATTGTGTTTAAAATACAGGTTTACACATCAAGATCATGGGGAGTATTACTCTGCCTGTGATAACATTTGTAGAATGTTTTTTTGCTCTGTGGGGACCTCTCTAAAACCTATGAAAACAACCCAGCTGTCAAAGTGATGACTGGAGTATCCCTTTAAGGTTACCTTTTTACAAAATCTCAAATTGAATACTCTTGTTGTGTAGCATTTTGGAATGAAAACCTTCAATGGTACATAGACAGTGGACATATGTACAGTAAGCCTACTACAAGCCACTTTGTGATTCATTTATTCAAACAGATAATTGTCAGTCATGTTTTTTTATGAACTGAATAAAAATTGGTAAAGCCGCATTACTTTAGAGTTACGGTTGACAAAAATGGTTTTATTGCATTCATTGGGATTTCATAGAAAAATGACACAGTGAGGTTTTGGAATGTCCTCGAGAGAGCAAAATGTGGTGCATCTCCACACCAAACACTCCAGAAATCCTGATATAGCTGCCACACAAACAACACTTTTAAAAACTAGAGCATAAATATAAATGTAATTTTACAAAGAACCAGCCACTAAAAACATCTCCTCTAATGCACCCGTGTTTCTCATTTATCGCTAAACAATTCATTGTGCATCAAAAGTATTCAGTAGCTGCCACAATAAAAGATCTGAGTACAAACAAGCTGCTCAATGAGCTTTCTGCAGTTGGCACCATGGACAGTGTTACATGTACAGTGGCCTTCAAGTGCACAACACAACATTTAAAAAGCAAAAGCAAGAAAAAGAGAGGACTCAAACGGCTTTAAATTTAAACTGTCTGTACTTCCACACTTACTTTGAAGTGCTTCGATCTTGTCGGGTTTCTGACATTTTTGTTGTTGTGCTGTTCACTCAGGGGCTACTGTAAATATATCTTTACTGATGACATTCTGACAGTTATCACTGAAGTGTCACATACTGTAAATACTAGGCAAGAATCTCATACCTACTAAATCAGTATCTATTATATCATTGTGTATCTACATGCTATCTACAAACTGTTTACATATCATATCATAAATACTACAAAATAAAAAGTGCAAATTAGGAATGATAGTGAGTGTTGAACAGAAATACTTTTGAAATACAACATTGGTAGAAAATAGAGCTTCTGTACAATGTATGTACGTGTGTTTATATGTCAAGGTGTTTCAAACTATGGAATGCCTCCTCCATAAACCATACTGGGGGTTTTCAGATTTTGGGTAACCATATGATGATGATTCATGATCAATGTCGGACTGGGAACTGATCCTTTTTCAACTCCAGAATCTGACTGATTTTGTGTTTAGACATTCTAAGCTTGTGAGTTGCCACATAACGTCAGCCTCAACTGTGCCACATCTGATAGGTAGTTCTGTTTCAACATGTTGTTTGATTGCTGTATGATAACTGACAGTTCAATTGACACTGGGACTGGCTCACTTCTCGCAAATGTTTGATTCTTTAATATATGTTCCTGGCCACACCAGAAAGTGGAACAGCAGAATGAATCTTTATGTCTTTGCAAAACATTTGTTTGTAAAGCTTGCTGACATAGTGACTACACTGGCAGGGCTGGCTGGTGAACTGCTGTGGCTGGCGAGATAACCGCTAACTCACTAGCTATCTTGGCAGTTCTCTGAGATTGCCTGTTTTCCCTCTGCTGTTCTGTTTACTTCCCCTGGTATTTTGTTCACCATGGTACACCAAAAGTTACTGAAGAGGGAAAATAAAGCACTATGAGCTAACAAGCCTGCTATGGGTCACTTAGCAAACTCTTAGTCCAGCTTATTAGCCTAGCTTGGTTGCTAAAGTCACAGTTTATTGATGAAACGTATGTGTATGTGTACCATTACCGTATGCTCAACAGGTGAGCAAGCCTCAGTCAGGACCTCAGTCAACTTTCTCCTCTCCT